CAGGGTCCCTCTCTCCACAATGTCGGAGACAGTTCACGAGGTTGTGGGAACTGGCCTTAAACCTCCACAGGCCACATGAAACAGTGTCGCGGCGGTGACCATCGGAGAAATTTTCTCTCAGGAAAATGCACGGTCGACCCAAATGGGTTGACCCTTGTTGACCAGCCCCCACTGATCTAGGCTGGCCTATTACAGGACACAGCTGTGGCTCATTTGTCCCAAGGTTATGCTGAATAATTCCTGTCTGATATACTGGCTTTTTTTTTGAAACTCAAGCTGTTATTTACAGTGATGCGATAATCATTGCAGCCTCTGTGTGTAATGTCCACCTGGGTGATGCACTGTACCCTTGAGCAGCCAGAATGCTCGCAACACATAAGATGTCAGGGCAGGAATTATACCAAGGCCAAATGAGCAGTGCCAATGATGCCCCAGAGTGTGCAATGCCCCTTCTAAAATTAAATACCCAGCCTTTGTGCCCTTAAAAGAGAATTGTGAATTTTCGAATTGAAACGAAATTGCCTACATGCAACTGAACAAATAAAAAAACTCATGTTTCCTTTTGTCTCCGTAATCACGTTGAACATCATCCCATTCCTGCAAATGTATATGTGTGCAGGACTAGAAAACGGGGTCACTTGGGATTTTTTTCCATTCTGAGATTAACGGGGTATCTCAGTGATATCCCAGTGATAGTGATATCCCAGCACTACTGTACTGTCAATTTACAACACTTTGCTGTGCACAAATTCACCCAATTTTTTCTCAAAATGAAAAACTTGGATCACTCTTTGATTCTGTTAGAAAATCTCAATTTTCATAAAATGACCCAAGTGGCCCCTTTTCCTAGTCCTGCACACATATTATGTAAAGTTAACAAAAACATGAACAGCTAACCAGCAATCAACACACGCAGCTGAGCACTTTACAGTGAAAGTATTAAGAGATGCATGTGTGTTTTAAAGTTTACTGGGATGCTGCATGGCGTTAGCTAACCACGAATAGTAATGTTTTTTAGATCAGACCGGTTGCTACTTTTTCAGTGTGATGCCAAGAGAGGACTGCTCAAGCTGCGATATGGAAAGGCACTGCATTGCGGTATGGTGGTGATGACTGCTCCCTGAGCTTGAATTTGAGCAGCGCCAGAGGCGACTGTGGCTGTCAGCCCTTTGAAAGCTGTGCATAGTTGGCTTCACGCTGCTAAGGCTATGGGAGGGATACAGCCGGCTAGAGTTTACATTGTTCTTTGCTCAAACAACCCCTGCTGGTCAGCCTCATGCTCGTCTGCAAAAATTTTACGCAAGTGCAAGTTTCTTTTGGCCTTGTTCTGAGCTAAGAGGTCTCAGGACATTTCCAGACTAGGGTGGGATTCCAGATGCCAAATTGCATTAAATAATAATAATAATAACAACAACAGCAATAATATACGTTGTAGTATAGTATGCATACAATACAATGCTCCCCTAATCTGGTAAAACCTAGTAACTGACTTTTTGGTAGAAATTGAGTTAGACCCATTTTTGCCGTTACTAGGTTACTAAGCACCAAATAAAGTACCTACAGTCGTCATTGAGAATACCCATTCTCTCTCTCTCTTTTTTATTTACAGCGAGTTTATCCTGAAGGACTTAAGTTGTTTTCAGTTTTCTCAATTTCATGAAAAAGTGAATTACTAGGTTTTACCAGATAAGGGGAGACTGACTGGTCAAAAAAAAAAAAAAAAAGATTATATTGTCCAAACTTTTTCAAAAAGTGGGTTGTACCATATGTAGCACCAGAAAAAACAATAATTTGGCAGTGGATATTGGAGGAGAACATACAGTACAGTCTACAACTGAGGAATTACAATCAATGACATGGCTTTAATTTTTTTAAATATCACCTGATATGTAAATACCCTCAAATTAAACCTAACACAGCACTTTAACCTCATATGCATTGTTTCAGAATAATTTGCCAGAGCACAGAGTTACACCAAAAGGGAATCAGATAAAGGTAATGAACATGTCTTGCATTAATGATACCCAAGTTTGGAAAAACAGTTTCTGATTGGTTCTCATCACCTTGGCTATGTTGTAACCAGTGGTTAACTTCACTCTCTCAGCCCTCTCTTCAATTTGTCTATATCAGTGTTCAGCATCTGGTTCAGGTCTCGACAGTTAGGTGAAGTCGCTTGTATTGAGATCTGTCCTCAGTGGCACAGACAGCATAAAGCAAAGTATTACATACATAATATAGGGGAGACTGGGGTCCGATGAGCCATGGGGACCAATGAGCCATATCACTATTTTGCGATCAATCGATGCCAAAGGTGTTTAAAATAGGCAAAATAGTGATATGGCTCATTTTTCCCCATGACTCATCAGTCAATGGTCAAATATTTTGCCTATTTTAAGCAGCTCTGTCATCGATTGATCGCAAAATAGTGATATGGCTCATTGGTCCCCATGGCTCATTGGACACCAGTCTCCCCTACACACAGAGGTCCAGTTTTTACTTACTGAATTAATATCGTGACGGCGTGCCCAACCAAGGTGCTTGATAATGGCAGTAACACCAGGCAATTACCAGTTTCAAGACTGGTAATGGCAATGACTTTAAAATCAGAAACATCAACCCCCATTTGCTTTAAGTAGGATCCACTAATGCTGGGCTGCCTAGCCTCATTAATGGAGATCTACTGTGTAATTTGTTATACTTGGATAACAGCCTGCAGGAATCTTCAAAAGATGAGGTTTGGCTGTGCTGCCATGAAAACAGCATTACCCCAAAGTTTATTTAATAAACTTGTACTATCAGATTGACGTCTCTGTGGAGGCTTAGTTTTAGCGCTAACTCTAACTTGCTCTGACAGAACCAGACCGCCCCTTCCCCCTATTACGGGGCCCAACCTACCCATTTGGAGGTATCGTTGTGGTGCCCTCGATGCTCCGACATCTGCTATGAGTACACAGCTGCTGGAGACGTGATGCGAAAAACAGAGCAGGTTCTATCATACAGGTGGGCTATAACTGCTTTTATGGATACTTGCATGAACAGACTCCAGGGTGGAGCAAGTGGGAAGTGAACTTAACTGGGACCAGGTGTGGGGGTCGGAAAGCAGTTACCTTTTCAGGGTTTGGGTTGTTAGGGCTCTACGCTAACATTTTTTTTTTTTTTTTTTTTCAAGGAGGGCATGCGCTATATTGACAAAGTTAGGAGCACACAAATTTAGGAGCGCACACGATGAAATGTAGGATCACATGTAAATTTGTATTGCATTTCCATATACAGCACAAATACTTGTCATTCTAAAACCAGCAAAACTGCACCTTTGAGTGTGTGTGCAGGGGTGTAAAGTCCGGGTGCAGAAAGGAAAAATCCTCCCCAGAACTTTATTCCAACCACCTGGATTTACTTCGGACAGGAGATAGAGCCAATATGAGTGATCAGCTCATTCTGTGGGAGGGAGAAAAACTTGGCAGGACTTCTACTTTCTGACCCCTGGATTTTACACCACTGTGTGTGTATGTGTGTGCACGTGTGCATGAGAGAGAGAGAGTGTGTGTGAGAGGTAGTGCATCCGTGTTACAAATAGACGTCCTCTGGGTGCAATGCTCTTTTCTTTTTTTTTTGGAACAGTGTGCCCCTAAGTAGAAAAAACATAATTTTCCCGGTCCTTATAGCTAACATATAGTAGAACATGAACAACGGTTAAAACTCAAAACAGAAACTTAAGTGGGTGACATGGTGGCGCAGTTAATTGCATTGATTCTTGGCCGTTAGACGTTCCTCGGTCCAAGACCTCGCTCAAGCCTTTCTGTGTTGTGTCTGACATTGGGCATTGCAGAGTACCATACTAGTGCTCGCTCCATCTTACGGCTGAGTAGCATTGTAGTTCTTTGACTGAAAAAAAAAAAAAAAAAAAAAAAAAAAATTGTGCATTTAAAAATTTGAAGTAGGCTAGGCCTAAAACACCTGTGTTCTTCGTAGTCCAGTCATTGAATTGTAATCTGTGATTGTGGTTTTAGAGGTTTCCAGGTGATTTAAGCTGTTGGGGTTTTCCCCTAACAAAAATGGACCAACATTTTTAACCAAGAACCATTTTCCACCAATGCAAATTATGGTAGGGGCCGCTGATGGACCGTTTAGTGAAGTTGCACTGGTTCCATATGCCTCGTGTTTGTGGATGTGCTATAGATCTTCAGGAGAAATACATTTCAGGCGGCGAAATTCATAGGTAGGCCGTCAAGTTTTTAGGGTACGAGAAAACGAGAATTCGCTCTTTTAAGGGAGGTTGCTTGGAACACACGACTTTCGTAGCTGTAGTATTTAGTGGAGCAAAGATTGTAAATGGTTGTCAGTTGCTTCCGCATACCGAATTCATAAATTGTTTGAATGTCTGAAATCCGAATATCCCATTGTAAATTAAATTTTCTGCAAGATACCAAAGCCAGTGGAAATTTTCCGATCACCGTTTCCTGAACTCTCACTGTTTGTCCCTAGCTGGTATTGCTCATCACGTCTCTTTATACTCTCATGGGAAGGACCCTGTTCGTCCATATCACTCTGCTCCACTGGAAGCAGACTAAAATATAGTTTTGTTATGCTTCTGTTGAACGACGATACAATTCCTGCTCTCTCAACTTCACTTTATTGCGGGCGCTCGGGCGAATTATTACAGAACCAAAGCGGTAAACCACCAATCAATCAATCGCAGTGAGCTGGAATATTCCGACTTGCATACAACATTGGTATATTGGTATTTGTTTCAATGGTATCAATCAAATGCTTGAATTTAATTTATGAGTTTTAACGGATTTAAGAATTCGCTCCCACCATGCGCCTAAAATTTTAACTCGTATGCTGTATGCAAATACGAGTGAAATGTTACACTGAAGAACGCTAGTGGTGGTCGTGGGAGCACACAGGCGTGCCTTTCGATTTATGTGGAACCCTGATCTCGGACAGGATCATTCAGATTATAGATTAATAAGTCGCATACCGCTATAAGTTTGCATGGGGAATTAGCTCAAATGGTAGAGCGCTCGCGCAAGCGAGTGGTAGCGGGATCGATGCCCACATTCTCCAGTGACTTATTTCCGCTACTCTTTCGATTTCTAGGACCCATAGCAACTCTTAAAGTGATCATTTCATTTGCCACCTTCTCTGTTCAAATTCCGATTCTCCTCTACTGGGTCATGTTAGAATATCCGAGAGAAAAGTAACTTACTCAATAAAAAAATCTAAGACCAATGAAATATGCATTCGTGCAAGAATGTGTAAGGATAATCTCCCTGCCCTTGAGGACCCAGTGAGTGCTTGAAATACAGTATGTGGTTACTCCAAATGTGGCTAACATATTCCATAAGCTTACTGTCACTCTGATTATCAGCTAATATCTTTGAGAAATGGTTTATTGTAGTGATTCTGTGATTTTATTTTTATCTATGAAAAAAAAAAAGTCCCATTGTGATATAATGGAGGAGGTTGGAATTTTTCATATGGCTGGAGTCTGTGGAAGAGCCTTTTCTCATAGTAGACATTTTGCGATGAAAATGTGAAGGCACAAAAGATACGTCATAAGATTTTCTGCTGTATGCACGAGGAAGCGGTTGTTTACACCCATTTAATTAGGTCTTATTTTTCTTTTGATTTTTGCTTTTTTAAGTTTCTGCTTTCATCTATGTGGTGGGACTTGTCAAGGTCTGCTCACATGCTAGCATGAGCTGTGTGGAGTTGCAGCAAACAGATCAACCAAACTCCATACTCACTCACTATAGCCATCCCTGCTATTCTTCAAACATCACGAACCTGAGAATGCTTAATTAGAACAAATGGTTATTATAAAATCTTCTGGAGCCTTAATTGCTTCTTCTGTGGTTCCGAGGAAGTCTCAAGAGTGATTTCCTTTGATATTTAAATGAGGAAATTGAACTGACCGCACGCTTCTTTGGTGATAACTTCTGGTAGACCGGAAACAAAATGCTAAGGTCGACATAAAACTGATAATCAAAAAAGTTAACAAATAAAAATCATTTTCTCAATGTGTGTTCTGTAAAAATCTTACAGTACTTTTCATTATTCCGAGAAACAGAATGCATGTTTGTCCATCGGACACACTGACCTGGGAAATAATGTTTGCTTCCTTTCTTCATCTTGACAGACCATTCATTATTAAATCATCTTTCTTTTTCTGAGGAAAAAAAATGAAGTGTTATAACCCATGATGTCTCCTTTGGGAAACTATGAAGTAGGTGGGCTGAAGTGAGACCCAATGATCATGAGAGTGCGCACATTGAAGATCTTACTATTGAGACTATGCCCTGAAACAACAGCCATTAGCATTTCTATATCCATTCTCATGACCAATGTAAAAATCTGAAAAAAAAAATCCGCACATTTCAGCTTTCATGGCTTTTTATTGTGTAAGTGGTACACATGTCCAGCATGGATCATTAAACACTCAACACAAAGTGAACAACACAACATGTATAAAATCTTCTAAGGCAAGAAATAAAATGGAATGTTATTCACCAAGTAAAAAAGGAATCAAATTTAAAAAAAAAAAAAATTCCTACCACATTAAAAAATGTTTAACCCGAACAGTAATTTTTTTTTTATTTACAATTGAAAACAATAATTAAGTCAAACATGAAATGAAAATTGAAACACAAAATGAATAATAATCATTCAAAACAACACACACAAAAAAAAAAAAAATCTGACCACAAAGCTGGATTTTAAAAGAATCCATCACTGATTATGAGGACTGGATGAAATTAATACCGACAAAAAAATCGAAGACGAGGCACTACATTACGAAGCAGTTTCACAAGTTTTTGTTAGATGTAGTTTTCCTGTGGGGCGATCGCACACACCCGATATCTTTAAGGCAGGACCAATCCATTTGACAGAGGACATCAGCACACAATAGCATTTGGCGTTGAGGTTCTATGAGTATAGAGGGGAACTGCCCAAAAACACACCCAATATAACAGGGGTCCTCAATAATGGCCCCCCCAGAGAGCCGCAAGATCTGCTGATCTTTTAACTTCATCTTAAAAATGCATTAACTGAATGAGATTACTCACTGAAAGGTTGGGATTCAAACATTGTAAGTTTCTCATTTGAGGCAATATAGCTGTCTAGCTGCAGCAAGAAAGCAAAATGTTTTGATTCGTTCAAACAAGCCAAAGATTGAGTATGTGCTGTAAATCTATTCAAAATAGTGGCTTGTAAATACTTACTATACCACTATAAGGTTAGACGATGGAGATCATTTTTGATTTGCCAACCCCGTACCAACACTATGTAAAGTGAGTTTTTTGATTGTTTTAAGTGCTGGGTTACAGAAAAAATCAGCAGCCTTTATGGCTCCCCAGGACCAGCTATGCAAATTGCCCTCCCGTTCATTTAGACTTCGGAGACCAGGACGACCTTAAACTTCACATTTTACATTCGTCAGGATGGTAGTAGTAAATTAATCAGCTAGGGCATCGTCCAACTTGGCAAAGAGTACTTAGATAATCTGTCTACACTTTAAAGGTGAAAAACCTGTTTCCACATCTTTGACTTTTTCTTCAATTCTAATTCTTCAGTTCAGTCCCTCGTTTTGTCCAGGTGAAAACCCTGTTAACACCCGTTTATGACCATTTGTTTTCTTCATTTTCATGCAGCCTGTGTGGCCTGTTCAGTTTGGTGTGGTTCTAAAAGTGAACTTGACACCTAGAGGGCTTACAGGAGGCATGCGACATGCCCCGAGTCCTATATTTAAAAGAAGTCTTGAAAATATTTGTCACCCTTGAGGGCAAATAGTGGTTCATGGGAGACAGCGATAGAGGCATAAGGAGAGAGGCTACATATTCCTACAAAGGGGGGGCCCTGCGGAGGGGTGCATATAAAATGCAGGGGCACTGAAATCTGTACCAGCCAGTATTCCTTCTAGTTTTCCTACCTCCCCTCTAAAGAGCAACTGATTAAAACCTGATGCAGCTCTCACTGGCGTTACTGAGATCACACTAAGTGAGCTGATCTCTCGCCAATCAGTCATTCAGTAGGTTACAGACTCGGTCAGTGAAAGTCAGTTGTACTACTGACCTTGAGTGCTCTCCACTGGAGAGTGTGTGACACTGAAGTGGTGCTCATTAGGGTGCAGTGAGGAACATATGAGCTGGGGCACACTTCTGCGACTCCCCCCTCAACAAAAAAAAAAAAATAAAATAAAGAAGAAAATAAAATCGATCTCCCACCCGACCCTCTAGGTTCTGGCTGAGAGTAAGAGTATTCTGTCTCATTCACTGTGGCGAAGCCCAGTGTCCTCACGCTAAACTCGGGCTGGTTTGGTGGCAGGGACCCTGGGTCACAGTGCAATGCATTGTGGGAGGAAGCCGCACGGTCGGTCTTTCCTCGGCTCTCTCGGCAGCTGGCTGGGAGCCCTGGCTTACTTCCTGCCAGGCTGGGGGGTGGCCGGACAATGCCCATTGTGAGCTAACTGTCAGACCTGACCCAGACCCACCCTGGGGACCGGTAAAAGCTTGGGCCGGGGTGAAGGTCCGGGAGGGTGGGACCTTACGCTGGAATGGGTCATCGGGGGCAATAAATCATACAAACATTCCGTAAGTATTTGGACAGAGTAAAAAAAAAAAAAAAAAAGGATGCCATTCCTACAAGGTTCGGACAAAATGGACATGAATCACCACAAATTAACAGCCTCTTCTTAAACTTCTTATTCCGTACGTCCATATTCAATGTGCCGGAGCACTAAGTCAAGGAGAAAAAAAAAAACTAAAAACTATGGTACTGTCCACATACTTTCGGACGGTATTTATGTCCCACACCTGGGGCTCAAGCACACAGGTCAGTTAAGAGACCTTTTTTCTTATTTAATTTAGCATCTCTGGTTCCACCTAGAACTGGTTTGTCCAATTATCAACCTACATACCAGCATGTAAATATGTAGCTCGTATGCTGCTGCTCGGGTGAGCGCAGTTTGCGATTCGCCTCTTAGACATGTACCAGTCAGGTGATGATTCTTCGCACACCGCGCTCACTGTCCAAGCGGGCACAGAACAAGGGTAGAAGAAACGAGAACATGAGCTTTAAAGAGCAACCAACAGGCACCAGGTCGACTAATTGGACTCGCTAGAGAAACTATCAAAGTGGCCCAAACAACTGTCCCTCCCATATCCCTGAGCAGCACAAAGCCAATTATACGCTGCTCCTGTGAGGCTGCGGACCGCAGTTAGCACTGGCATAGCTGGATTCTATCCCAGACCATGATGGTCACTTGCGCACGACAATTGGTTGAGTCTAACAAGTGAGCTGACCCAGCAACTGCAGAGGTACATCTTAAGCCGCTTTCACACCGGACGTGAAACAAATTTTTCGCACGACAGATTACATTCAAAGTCAATGCCAAGATCGCGTCTTGCCATTGACTTTGAATGTAATCTGTCGTGTGAAAAATTTGTTTCGCGTCCGGTGTGAAAGCGGCTTCAGAGGGGTGCTCCTATTTCACAAACAGCATTTCTGTTTTCCATGGCCCATTGCTGTTATTTCAGTTCTCCACAACAGCGCTTATAAATAAAGGCGGGACAGCGTAGCTAAGCCAAAGCTGTCATGGAATCAATCCCAGAACAAGCTTTAACAAGCATGAAATACTCCGATCCCCCACCACGAGATGACTGATATCTGGCCTCCAGAAAAAAATAACGCGGTGGAAGGACAGACAGATGAATGGCAGGATGGACAAAGATATGAAAAGGCACATCTACACAATAAGGTGAAGCTATATGTAAAATTTTGTTGTGAAATATTAAACGGTTTAGGGGCTCCGGGCCGGAAAAGAGCGGGATGGCCGATATCTAGCCTGAAACAAAATGTGGTGGAGGGACGGACAGATGGACAGGAGGACAGGCGGAAGAGCGAGAAGGCACATCTTCAGAATAAGATGTATCCATATGAAATTTTGTTGATAAATTCTGAATGGTTTAGGCACTGTGGCCCAGAAAAGAAGCGTGGCGAACATGAGGACGGATGGACGGACGGACGGTCTTGCGGAAGAACAACATTTATTCCTATATCCCCTT